CCCCCCCCCCGCGCGCAGGCGGAAGGCGGGCGCACTTCCGCCCGCCGCCGCCAGGGGCGCCCGGGGCCGCGCGAGCCCGCAGCGCGGGCGCGGGCGCGGGGAGGGCGGGGGTGGGTGTGGCCGCAGGTGGGGCGCCCGCCCGGGGCCGCGCGGGTCCGCAGAGCGCGGCGGCGGCGGCGGCGGCGGCGGCGGCGGCGGCGGCGCGGCCCCGGCCGGGAGCGAGCGGGCAGGCCCGCGCGGAGCCGCTGCCGGGCGCCTCGGGTCCCGGGGCGGGAGGGGAAGCATGGCCCGCGCGGCGGGAGCCCTGCTCGGGGCGCTCCTCCTTCTGTGTGCGCGGCCGCGGAGCTCGGTGGCGGCGGGGAGCGCTGGTGAGTACGGCACGGCTTTAAACTTGCGTCCACAACTTACAGTGTGTGCTTTTATTAGCGCCGAGCGTTTGCAGATGCAGTCGCTGGCGGGCTCTGGGAGAGGAGGCATTAAGAGAACCCCTCTCCAAGTACCAGCGCCGGGATAGGAGGGCTTCTCGTGCTTTTTCCCCCCTCCTGCCGAGTCCGAGATCCAGCAAACGCCTGTATTTGACTTTTTTTTTTTTTTTTTTTGTCGGCGAGCTGAGTCTTCATTGAGAAAGCTCAAGTTCTAGTAAAAGCTGCAGCGGGCGTGAGGGTGCTGAGGCGCGGAGGGTGCAGCGGGCGAAGAGCTTCCGAGGAGGGGAGGCCAGCAGGCCGGCGTGCGGCGCGGTCATTTATCTCCTTGCGGTGTAGACGCCTTCGGTAGGAAGCGTGTCAGTGCGAGGCGGCGGGTCCTGCATTAGCGCACACGCTTGCGGCGCGCGCTCTGAGAAACCTGGGGCCCCGCGGCGCCCCCCACCCTGCCCTGGAGGGTCCCCGCGATCCGGGGACGCCGGACCCCTGGCGACGCAGAGGGGACAGCAGCCTGCGCTCCAGGCTCGAGGAACTCGCGCACCCGCTCGGGTGCGGTGACCTGCGTGTTTCTGATTCTGTAGGTTCACCGAGGCTGCCGTAGCCTCTGGGTCCCGGGCTGGCTGCCGCCGAGTCTCCTGTAAAGATGCTACCAGCCCACCTGCAGGTATCTGAGGCTGAAATCAGAAGAAGTTTTAAGAGTGTTGCTCAGATTGAAATCTCCATCTAGGGCTTTTCTGTCCTTGAGGGATTTTAAGAAAGCCCCCCCCCCCCCCCCCCCCCCTTCCTTCCCCTCCTTCCCCATCCACCTAAAGAAAATCGAAAAAAAAAAAAATCAGGTGTAGGGCTTACACAAGCTAGTATGCGTTTCCAGGAAGTGCTAGCAGATGGTCAGAAACCGACCTTGCTGCTGGGTGTCCGGATTTAGCTCTTGGGACCCCAACTCTGTCCTCACTGGGAAGTTTGCTAAAGTGGGAAGCATTGTTCCTAAAGTTACCTTCCCACCCATTCCTGCGCGGATGCCGCAGGGCTGTGCTGATTTTGTGGTGTCATCATCTAGTATCAGCTCATTTAATGCCATAGTCGTGTTTGAGTCACTCCTAAAAATGAGCCTTAATCTCCTCTAAGCAAAGACTGCCCCGTGTTTCAGACACAATTTTAATTTAGCTTCATGGGACAACGGCTCTGAATTAATTAAAATGGGGGCATTTACATGAAATCAAATCCTTAAATCCTGCAGTAGAGCGCCTGTCATTTTGCTCAGAAGCTCCAAATGACTGGTACTACATGATTTGCTGATATTCGTACAGTAACTCGATGTACCTACTCTGAGGTACCATTAAAAAGTCACCGGAGGTCACTCCTACTTAAAGGAAACATGGCTTCAAAAATCCTTCCCACGAGAGAAAGCAGAGTGCCGGCTTGCGTTTCTTGCTTCCTTAGTTGTGATTGCAGCTTATCGGCAAGATCAGTGGTATTTATTTTCACTTAGTGTTTTATTCCCTGAAATCCATAATTATATCATGTTCTTTCACACGGAGCATCCTTCTGACAAGGCACCTGCTCTGGGGCGCTCCGTGTCTGATCATCCATGCGAGTTCCCATGTTGCAACGGGGTGTGTCTCCAAACTCAGTTCCCCCTGGGGACTGCGTCTCTGGCTGGCTCTTCAGCCTCGAGTAGTTGGGTGTGTTTGGTACTCTTATTCAAAGTTCAGTAAATGAAAGAACCTATGTAAATTTGCATTGCTAAGCACAATTTTGGTAACTAAAATTAAAGTCCTTGATGGGAGCACCACAAAGATGACCCTCTGCAGGGCTCAAGTATATATTTAAATGACTTTGCACAGTTGAAGATTCATAGAGGCCACCCAGATGGCATCTGATAATCTCCCGGTGATCTCCTTTGGCAGTATCATTTGTAGCAGTAAAAGTACATGGGAATGAATCTCGTGCCTGAAGTAGCTGATTTGCCCGATTCTGATTTTCTTGAACTCCTGCCTATTTGGGAAGTGTGTGTTCTATGTGTGTACAAGCAAAATGCATCAAACATGGATTTGTAATCTGTTACCGCTAAGTCAAGGCAGAGGGCTCTTTTCTTGCTCTGCCCCATCATTTGAGAAATTCTAGAGAGAAGTTTGCCAGCAGGTGTGGGATTCAAGCTATGAACGAGAAATCACGAACATAACATTGCTCACGTTTTTTGTTGACTCTCCTTCCCCTTCCCCCTGTTTCAGGAACTCAAGTAATCCTTTCAGACAGGACTTTAAAATGAAATATTCTTGAGCACTACACATAGTAATGAGAGTTGTATATGACTAACAACACAAAAAAAGACAAAAGTCTTCTCCCCAAATGGACCCAAAGATGTATTTACTCTATTTATATTGGTTCTTAGTAGTAAAGTGGACAGCCAGAGGTCAGCCCGGAGGAGATGCCAGCCTGAGACACCCTCTCCAGCAACAGGGCTTGCTGGAAACCTTTGACGTCTCAGAGATTACACACATGCGACATGAATCTTTTTAATCAGTGGGAAATTTTAAATCAGGAAGATGATACACCGGAGGGAGAATGTTTCTAGATGGCCATGACCACAGGCTTGTTTTGTTGTCCTGTGTTCTCCATCTTTTTGAAGAGAAAACAAGTTGAATGGATTGCATTCTCCAAAATATGGCCAAGGACTTGACTTTTAGGAAAAAATTGTGAACATCTATCTGGGTCTGCCTGTTAGAACCCTCTGGCCTGAGTCAAGACGAGAGTGCTCCATAGGGATCGGTCCTCTTAAATAGCTCAAGAGGGAGGTTATCACATAGGTTTCCAAGTGAGAGCCCTGCTTTCTAGAAGTTGTCAGGTAGGCTGTTGGCTCCTTTAATTCTTACCAAGAGCCACAAATCGAAGAAGGTGATAGTTGCCTGCTTCAGAATTATTCTTGGAAGTCCACGACTCCTTTATGAATTTCAGGACCTTATGGGAGGCAGAAGAGATGGAATCTGAATATGAAAATGTCAACATTTTCATTGTGTAGTTAGTGTTGTAAGCCTGTTTCCTGGATTGCGCCTCAATCTGAGGAGTAACGTTCACCCCCCCCCCCACACACTTAGGAACAACACAAGTGAAAGCTAATACACAGCTGACTTATCTTCCCCATGCAAGTAAAGCGCAAGCTATAGCTGATAGCTGATGTCCCCCCCCCCCAGCCAGTCTCCACTGAATAAGGACGGAAACATGTTAGAAACTTCAGTCATTGATAGTGATTGTGATATAAATGATGACATTTTTACAGATCCAGGATTCCGTTTAGTGACTATGACTGACTTGCTTTCATTTTGTTGATCTCAGTACTTGCAATATTCTCTAGAAGCTTCCTTGTGATTCCTTCCCCTGTCAGAAGTGCTCTTCTTGCTGCAAGAAAAAAGGATCTATTTCTGGCCCACTGCAGGTGGGGTAAACCCTTTGAATTGCCCTTGTAGGAGTGATAATGTGAATTTGTTTTTATATATCGACCCCTGCCCTCTTCCCCATTAAATCCTAGACCATAGAGGTCTCGGACCATGAAAGGGACCATGAAAAGGAGGATCGAGCCCATTTTGTTGGCCAACGTGGGAAACAAACCCATGACCTTCTTGACCACCTAGTGTTTGATGTAAGCAATAAACATGTTAGCACCTCAGTTTGAAGTTTTGTACCAGACTTGAACCCTCTCTTCGTTCGAGCCTAAGCTTCTTTATGTGCAGAAGCATTCCTGTATCTTCTTCGATGAAAGTGCATTAATATAATCCTATAATAGAAATGATCGCACAATAGTATCCTTTTAAGGTACGAATAACATACATAGTTTGATACAATAGTGAGACACTTGTCGAATATGAATAGTCCTAACCCGGTGACATGCTTAACCTTAATAATTTGGTATAAAAATATATGCATGCAGAACTGAGTGACTAGACGTCATGCTACAGTTGCTAAGGAGTATGAAATCACGAGCATTTATTTAAGCAAATGGATTTGCCATATGTCTCTTCTCGAGGGTTTTGTTTTTCAGAAACAGTGGACACAGATTCTTTGTAATTATTTGCTAAGTGTCATCAAAACTCTTTATTGCTAACGGAGCCCACTCAATCTTCCAGTAATGTCATGAGTGCTCCGAGGCTCAGTATAGTCTGTAAGGAAATTTCGCCTTGGCTACTAAGGACTAAAATCCTTACAGTATTTTAACGGGTTCGTGGTTTTCTTTGCCTTCATAGCATGCTTAGTGATTGTCTAGAGTGAGTCCAGTCTTCGAAGTTAACCAGCCCGGGGTGTCTGAGGGCGTGCCCACGGAGCAGGTGAATGGGGAATCCATTCTGGACGCAGTGATATGTGTTGGGGAAAATGAGCGCAGAATAGAGGGAGATGTGTTTTAGCAAGAACTAGAGCTGAGATTTTTTTGGAAAGGGGCTTCAACAACCTAGTGAACAGATCCTTAGTTACAGTATTTGAATACACTTCCCAGAAATACTGAGGTGAGGATGCTTTTGGAAACAGAGAGAGAACGAAAGCGTCTTCTCTCCAAAAAGCTTACCAAGTCCGAGGTGACGATCAGCACCAAGTGACAGGCAAGAACAGAGCCAGGTTGATGCTTACACGATTTGGGGAGACTCTTTAGGAAAACCAAATGAGGTGGCCCCGAGGACACATCTTCAGTGACCTTCCCAGTCCTGGAAGGGTGTTTGGGGAAGGCCTGGAGGTCGTGAACATCCGCTTCTTTGAGTTGATTTGGAAAAAAAAAACCCAGATCATTCCAAAGTGCTTCGTAAGGGACATACTCACTAACGTCTCAACTGAACCAATTTTAAGCTGAAGTTTTCTCCTCAGGTCACAATTAGACTTTGAATATAAAAGAATAAATTAGCTCCAGCAGTTTGGAAGTAATAGACCCAAGGCTCTTCTCCCCACTTACTTTCAGAGCCTTG